AGGCTTCTTCCTTTTCCTATAAATATCCCTTATTTTCTCATCTGTGTGTCTATCAGATCCTCCAGAGAGCTTGCAGAGTCATCAAGTTTTCTCTTATGGAAAAGACTGTGAAACACAACTTCAAAAATGCACTTAAGCATTATGCTTCCTTTCAGGACAAAGGAAAAAAAAAGACACAGACTTTAATCTACAGGGACATTCACCTTTACTGATGATGTTTGTAACCTATCATGCTAAACTGAGGTCAAAATGTCTAAAATGAGAGTACCCAAGCAGTTCCTACAAAACCCATAACCTCACTCAAGTCCACCAGAGGTTCAAGGATTGATGAGTTCCCTTAGAAAAGGAAACACAGGACAGGGCTGCCTGAAAGGCTGGACACTGCAACAGCTGGCACTGTGAATACCTGCCCCAAAGCTATCCAGAGGGAGAAAATGACATATACTACACAGAAGGCACATAGTTTCAGTTCTCCACTCTTACACACTGACCTGACAGGAAGGAGCCCTACAGCAGCCCTCGAATGCTGCTGCCTCTGTGGGGTTCAGCTGCTCAACCGGCAGTAACTGACACTTCACATTCTGACTCCAAGTAAAATGAGATTCCAACTCAAATTAAACTGGCTTACATCTATTATTTCCCTGGCTTGCCAAGAGCCTTCTTTTTCAAAGGTAAATTCAGGCTGGCTCAGAATATTCTTCCCTAATACTACTGGTGCCATCACTTCTGGGACAGAACTGAGTAAATCTGATACATTCCAGAGCAAAACATGACAATTTTCCATCCTAAGAAGTCACCTAGAGCTCGTTCCTGACAGAGAAAACTAGAACCCTTTTATGTGATTAGGCTACAAAAGAAGTGGTGATAAAGTTTCAATAGGTGCTGAACCAGCACACTGGGTGGCCCAATATTTTACACAGGTTATTCATGAAGTAAGATAGTTGTTAGTGGTTACAAACATTTTCACACCTTAAAAGGATGTATGTAGCAAACTGAATGCACTAAAGCTTCCAGGGTAATGTGCAAAAAAAAAAAAAAATCATGCAAATGTCCACAAACTTCACAAAGACGCATGTGGGCACTTTTTTTACTCCTCAAAAGCCCTGATCTAAAAGAGAAGCATCCACTATAATTAAAGACTTTACAGAAAATGAAATAACACTAATTTTAAGGCACATCAAGTGTTGTGGAAACGCTTTGGCCGGTGCTCTTTTAAGTAACTCTATATAAATCTGCATGCTTAAACTCACTCACTAAACTCCAAAACCAGCTGTGGTCTGATCTATCTCAGACTTGCCAAAGCGCTTACTCCAATGTCCTTGTGTTAAACTGAGCTGGAAATCTCTTAGCAGAAAAACACCAGAACCCTCCTCTCTGTGAAAAAAAAAAAAAATGAAAGTATCTTTTAATTTCGGAATGTTAAATGTGGGTGAAAGATAAAGCAATGGCACAACTATCTCCCTCCACAGACAACAAGAAACTGAATGTCAAAGTGCAAAGTGCATGGCAATGTATAGCAAAATATTCTTTAATCTCCCAGGGGAGAGAAGACTCATTAATTGATATCTAGCTTACCATATAGCAGAAATCACACTATGTTTTTTGCTAATCCTTGAGAGCTACTCATGATCTGAAAATGCCACTCTCAGAAATTGTTTTAACTTTCTCTTTAAAATGACCTGGCACTTTCAACGCTTAAAAACCTCGAGACTCAATCTAGTCACGCAGTATAACGCCACTGTATTTACTGCTGTCATTGTCGAAAGAAAAAAAGCACATCAAACCAAACCTGCAAAAGCCTTTTGCAAGCCAAACCTCCTTTAAATAACACATTCAAGAGTATCAAGCACTAGGCCTTGACAGAACCAGACAAACAATTTCTGTAGCACTACGCAAGCTGGGCAAGCGTGGTCCAGCACCACGGTTCACTGCTCACCCTCCCGAGTGCCCAAGCCCCCCGCAAGGCAGCGTTTCCAATCCCATTTCCTATCACGGTAAGCCTGGGAGCGCAGCAGAGAGAGATCTTCCCCCCTCTGCCATCTTTCCAGTAAGTCCAGAAGGAGCAATGACAACCAGAAGGACAGACAGGAGGACAACGAGCCCTGCCAGGGCCACCGACACCTCCGTGGCTTGCAGCGGGGAGGGTGCCACGGGTCTCGCGGGGTAAATAAAGAGGCTGGCAGAAAATAATTAAGGGGGCAGGGTGGATGCAGGCCTTAAAATTTCACGCAAGGCTCAGAATTAGTAACACATGAACGGTGCAAAAGCTAAATTTAAAAAAAAATTTAAAACCCCACAAAACACCCAAAACCGATAAGCCTCCAACTACCCCCGCCCCCACACGAGAATCTATGGGGGGAAATCTCCACAGACGGGACTTTGGCTCCCCCAGCACCGCCACTCCAACACACGCCCCCCAACCCCGCGGCCTTCCCCCGCCCCCAACGCAAGCGTTCGGCTTCCCCACCGCCCCCCGCCACGCCGACCCCCCCTCCCCCTTACCCGCCGCGGTCTCGGTCGCGGCCCCGGTCCCCGAAGCCTCTCATCGCCCCCGGAGGGGTGGGTGAGAGGCACCGGAACGCCGGCCGTGGGGACGGCGAGGGGCTGGGGGTACGGGGAGAGGGTCCAGCCAGGGGCGGCTGCGCCTCGGAGGCCTCGCTTTGCGCCACCTCGCCTCTTTGCTGGGACACAAAAGGAGAAGAGGTGGTCTGTGGGTCCGAGACCCGCTGGGCGTCAGCGGCCGGAACGGCGGGGCTCTCGGTCGGCTCCAGGGCCCGGGTAGTGTGGAGACACCAGCGTCTTCTTCCTCCGTGCTCCCGGCACAAAATGGCCGCCGCCGCCCCGGCCCGCTCCGCTTACGTTACGGGCAGCCCGGCGCTGCGCAAACTGCGGCCTTCCGAAGCACTACGCCTATTCACGGAGCTCAACTACGCACTAAGCGCTCTCGGCGAAACACCGCCCAGTGGAGTAGCAGGCGGGCTACGAAAAGTGCGTAACGTTCTTTACTTAGAGCCGGGGCCCTGCGTGAGGAAGGCGGAGGGGAGGAGTAACGCTATTCCCCAAAGTCAGCTGCGCAAGGAGCGCTCTCGTAACCCCTTCTGCAGGGCAGGGAATACCTGGGCCGAGGCGCACGTTACGTAAGCGCACGGCGTACGCAAGGTGCGTAACTCAGGCTGGCGTAGAGCCCGGTGTGCATGGCGTAACATTCTTACGCGGACCGTGCGTACCGGGCGGGAGGGTTACGCTGGATTCGCAGACGGTTTGAAGAATACGGCCCGTCGCCTGCTCGCCTACGGGCTCCGCCAAGGTGGCGGCGCGGCTGAGGACACGGTGATGGGACGATGGCGGAACAATAACGGGACGCTGGGCCGGAGCAGGAGCGGCCCTTTGGACCTCTGTGGCGGCTCCAGCGGGCCGAGGTTATTCCCTGTCAGATTAGCGGGGGCAGGAGCAGAGTGACAGCGGCCATGATGTTTGCTGTCGCCTGAGCGCCAGCAGGCCGGGAGAGAATTCCCCGCGAGCCAGAGGCTCCTCGCTGAAAGGCAGAATCATCCACGAGGGGATTACGTGGCACAGACCATAAATCCTTTTGTGCCGTGTATGTGCTATCGCCAGGTCAGTGTGTCCTGGCACAAAGAGCCGTGTCCCGTGGATGGTGGGGTTAGATCAGCCAAACACAGCCCTGGCCCACACCGTGTTATCGCTATCAGCAGTAATTTCTGGGCTGTCAGGTTATCAAACACTGGTTATACTGGCAGAAGGGAAAGCGGGTCCCCTTTACTTTCTGGCCCTTGGATAAAAATACCAGCCTAGAACAACATGCAAATTACCATTTTAGCTTCACATGCTATATATATATACACACACACACACATATATATATATATATATATATATATATATATATGTATGTATGTATCACATGTGTGAGAAAGCAAAAAGCAATCCGAGTGCTTAAAATAAAATGGAAGAATGTTTCTGTAAGAAACCTGGGTCTTTCAAGTGGGTGGCAGGGAGTCAAGTGACACTGCACACTCTCACTGGCACTGGGTACTTGGCCACTGGATACAAATGCCCAGTGTGGGAAAGCCTGGCACGTGCAAAGGACTGGACAGTGCATTAAATGACAATGGCTGATCCATTCCTGGCTCTCTCAGATGAACTGGCTTCCCAGCCTTCAGCTCTCTAGTCTTTTCTCCACCGTGAAAAATAGTGCTTTACTTCAGGAAAAACATCAACTATCTATTAAGAAACCACTTAAAGAAGGCAAGCCCTCTAGGTCTGTCACAAGGAAAAGCCTGGCTAAAATGTCAAGCTTCTCTTCCATGAATTTCTGGTCATTGCTGCCTTTTTATTTGATGTCATCTTACATGCATTTGGTAACCTAAACAAAAAAATTCTTTTTCCAGTGAAGACGAGTTCTTCGACCAGATCCCAAAATTAGACTCATTGTAATTACCAGAGGACAAAGTAAGACTTCCCCATTATATCCATGTGTGTGTATGTATTGTTTAATTTATTTTAAACGAGCAATTCCATGAGCATTGGAGATATTGTAAAAGGAACTGTTATTTTGGCCCCAATGCCCTGTTTCTCTCTGTATTCCCAGCTTCTTCTTTTGCCCCCTGTGACCTACACCTCCTGCTAGTTCAGAGCTGTGCCTGTGCTGGCTGCTCCCTCAGCAAGCTGAATCCCAAGTGCCTTTTCCTTGGTATAAGTGCTGGTGCCAGCCCCTCCTATCTAGCCCCAGGATTTGTTTTATTTTTTTTTTATAGTAACAATATTTAATATTACTTAAAGTAATATTTAATAGTCTTACTTATACTAGAGGAATGACAAGTCAATTATATCAAGTTTCTTTAGAGAACTAGAAAAAAGGTTTTAAGGTATTGGGTTGCACCCAGATTATTTTTCTCATGAAAGATCAATGAGATTTTTGAGAGGGGAGTTTTATTCAAAGCACCCAAACATAGTCAGACTTCTGTTCTAATTCACAGTCTTTATTTTTAACTTTAATAAGAACAGGTTTCAAACATTCTGTCCAAAAAGTAGAAAATGCTAAATAAAAACATGAACATTATCTAGTCAAGATAAAAATGTTTAAAAACGTATTCTTAAAACTACTTGTTCCTCTACAGTACATGAAAATCCGTCAAGTTCTTGAGCTGTTGTTCCTCCCACTGCCTTTTCCATCTATATATGTCAATTTTATAACTGAGTTTATTCCAGTTCTGTTGCATTTCACACTGTTAAATTCTACCACTTAGACACTCTCTTTGAAATAAATTAAGAAAGAGTATATTCACTCCCATGTGAAAGGACAGGTTTGATTTTCACAAAAGATAGGAAAAGGATTCTAAGAACAACTCACAATCTAATGGCTTAAATCTTTGTGTGCTAAAAGTTCTATTGAAAAACAAAAATCCTAAATGACCAAAATTTTAGTTCAGTAAAACTGAACTGTACAAAGTCCATCCTATTTTCTCCCAAAATACCTTAAATATCTCCCAAAAGCTAGAAATGCAGCCAGGTAGTTGTCGACCTTTCACAAATCTTCATCCCAACTGCCCAGCTGGTTTTTAGCTGTACATTTACATCATTTTTTTACCTATTCTTTGGCATCCCCAATCCCTCCAGCAGTTATTGCAAATGTGGCTTCATTTTCAGGCATCTCAGGGCTGGGAGAAAAAGAAACAAGAAACTTGTGGGTTTCTCCATGTAAAATGCAGTTGTGAAAGAGTCTCCAGAATGTTGTGATATTGTGGGTGTGAGCAACCTGGAATACCTCAGTGCCTTTATACCTATGTGCAAACTGTAGAACGTGATTGATATCATCAGGATCAGAAAATGTGAAATTGTTGTGTCAGGAAAACTCAGGAATTTAATATGTCCAGAATTTTCCTGCCAAAGGACCACCAGTCCTACCAAAGTATTTGATGGTTTTCATTAAGAGCTGAGCATCGAGTAGGATTTATGATGAAAGATGATGTTATTTAATGTATGCAATGTGCAAGACAACTTTAATTAGTCGTTTAATCTGTTAATTAGTTTGTCCTTTCAGATTTTCTCCCAGTGTACCATCCAGAAAGTTTCAATACCTTGAAATTTGTCACCTTCCCTCCTGTTTACCTGTCGTAGATCTTTGCAATACGCAGCTCCCCTCTCCCTTTCCTCAGACTGATCCTGGTAGTTGAAGCATGAGCAAGGATGTGGCCCCCGATGGGCTTTTTTGGGTCTGCCTGAAAGCTGAATTAGCAAGAAAATTGTGGTGATTCACTGTGCAAATTCCAGAGGTTAATACCGTGATTAACTGTCAGACTGAGCCGTATTCAACTCAGTAACGAATTATCAATAGGGAAATACATTAGAAACCCGACTTTTGCACACTTGTCTCAAATGTTCAATGCTGGCATCATTTTCCTGCCATTAAATTCAAGAGGCTCAAGAAATACACACCTTAAATATCACATATAAGCTGCTCCAGAGGAAAATGTGGTGCTTTTTCAATATTTTTACAGCTCATTTTCTTTGTTTAAGTCACGGTAAAATCACACCACCACAGCAGGCAGCAGATAAACATAAAAAAGCTCATTCCAAAAACTGAGAGAAACTTCCAGAGGTAATTTACGTAGGAATTCCTAATACCACAGGGAACAGTGACCAATCTGATCTTTCATTTCAGTGCCTCTTGCACCTCACAATCTCAGTTCTCATTTATGTTAAATACATAATACAAAATACAGGAATTTTTTTAAAAGAGAGAGAAGAAGTATCTTACGTCATAGTTGCTCCTGGGTCAGCAGTCATCTGGTTGGTCACAAACACAGCCACATTATATTCTGCAAGAGAAGACATTGCAAAGAAGGTAGACTTCTTCCAATTAGAGTTCCAAAATATTCTCTCATGCATGGTAAAAGCAAGGTTTCTGCTGAAGCATTTCAAATTTCAAATGAATGAGAAGAAAATATTCTTTATGACTGATGGTTGCAGTTAATCAGGACACAGCCTAGATTTGCTCTTGCACAGCTTCAGCTGTTATACACCAAAAATGAGTCCTTTTCACAATTCCAGTGAACAAGTCTTTCTCAGTTCCCATCTATTCTCTGTTGGCTCCCTGCCCTAAGTTCCCTCTCCTTCCCTTTTTCTGTTTGCCTTTTTTTTTTTCCCACTTCAGGAAAAAAGCATTTATTCATTCCTCATCAACATTTCTGAGACATTCCAAAGAGAAAGAACTCCATTCATCCTGTCATCATCCCTCAAAGCATTGCAAAGTACTGAGAAAGTGGCAAGAGGCATGGCTTTTTAATTCTCTATGCCTTCATCCTCTTTTCTCTGTCTTTTTTTTGTTGAAATTTGGGGAAGACAATTAGTGAGTATTTGTCCAGTTCTACAACTTCTTATCTCATTTAGGGCCTGAAAGTATTTCTAGAAAAACTCTAAATGTTGGAAAGTCCATAAGTTTTCTCAATCTATCATCTTGAAATAATATATTATCAGTTTGCTCTTTTTGGTAAGTGACAGAGGTGTAAAGTGAGGAAAGATCCCTGGGCTAGAGCCTGATTGATAATATACCTGGACTACGAAGTGGTTGTGCTACCAACAGCTACTGGTAGTGACTTCAGCCCATGTTTTCCAAATCTTGCCATGTTTCCCATACCTTCTGATATTTTTTGGAGTCTTGACAACATCTGAGCCAGTTTCTGTTGTCGTTCGGCCAACTCTCCGCGACCACTGAAATCCACACGGAAAAGTGCCATTATGGAGTCAATGATCTGCATTGTAATCATGCTGGGTAAGTAAATATAGTGAAAGAAAACAGGAACACTTATTCTGAGAACAGTAAGCATACAGAAGTCTTGTACCAATAACTTGAAGATACCAGCTTCCTCATGGAACTTGGCTGCTACATAGTCAAGCAATTCCATCTGATGCTCACCTAGTGGGAAGCAGTTACCAAGAAAAATTAGGACCAGAAAGAACTCGGAAAGAACAAAGCCTGAACTTCAAAATTCCACTTTAAATGTCTGCACTGGTTATTTGTTCATTGCCAGCAGTTTTAAATCCAGTGCCCAGTAACAATCTACTTAGCAGGTTCCAGTTTTTTCTCACCCATCTCACAAAACTTCTTTGTGAAAATCTTCACTCTGCATGAAGACAGCTTTTTGTTAAGAACTGAAAATTAATATATACATTTTAATTTAATTTGAATTAAATGACACACAGAAAATGTTTTAATCATTTATGTTTATATTGCATTCTTAAAGAAGTCTTATTTCAAAATTTCTTGAAGTTTTAAAGCGGTGTCGTGTGATAGAGAGTGTGTTGAGCTGTTAGTAAACTGAGAAGTGTTAATGAACTGAGAACTATTAAAATGGAAAGAGAGAGAGAAAAAACTGAGAGGAGAAAAGCCTAGCTATCATGCCAATTGCAGAAATGGTCTTACTGGTATATGCACGTGCATAGAGCACGTTGTCAAGCACTGCCTCGTGGTCCACATTGAAGCGATCCGCAATGTCACGCAGGCGATCCGGTCGGCTGGCATGAGTCAGAGTTAAGGGTTTCTCCTAGTGCAAACCATGCTCTGAAAATAATAAACTCCATTCCAAAATAGGACTATGGAGGGAAAAAAAAGAAGAATATTTATTTTAGTCCTAGAGAAGACTGACTTTTTGTCTTCAGGCTGTCCCACGTACCCTAAAGATAGTTTAGGGCTCACGATGGTAATTGTTTTGTGTTTAGGGTTTGAGGCGAGGGGGTTGACATATGCATATCTGTGCTCTAGGAATTTAGCAAAACCTGTTTATACACAGTCTACTGCAAATGTGAAGTGTTAAAAATAGTGTTTAGTACTTAGATAAATTTATCTTGAAGAGAAAAGCTGCTATAACCTGTAGGAGGCCTACTAGATTGCAAAAACACAAAACCCCCAAAAACAAACAAACAAAAAAAAACCCAGTTAAAATAAAATCCAATTCCTAACTAATTTTTTCAGGTTGGATTACATCAAATGACAAAAGAAAATCTCACTTCCTTGTGGGCCACTACACTCTGTGCTATCCATGATTTCTGTGCCCCTCATGTTTTACATGTATGAAGCTTCCTTATGACTAATTAAAATGCATTAACTTTCCAGTTCATCACACCTGGAGCTTTTAACAGTCAAAAAGATACAAAGTGTTTTCAGTATCAATGAAGATAATCTTTCCACCTGTGTAGCCATTTGGTCCTGGGAGCTGAGCTGTCACTACAGAGAAGCATACAAGATTAAAATGAAAAAGCAGGAAAAATATTTTCTTACTCCATCTATCATTATTTTTTAAATAAAATACAACTGTTTATCCATATCACAAAGAACTGTCAGTTTTAATCAATGTGAAAATCAGGAGTATCTTGTCTTACTGCCATCTTGAGAATAAGCTCAACCCACTTTTCTTGAATGCAGATCAGATGAGATTTAATTAATGGTGTCAAAACTGTTTTACTCAGTACCATCACTAAATCTGTGTATTAGGGATATTATTAGTGAGTTCTTACACACAAAGTCTCCTCTTAATCCTCTGCCCAAATTAATTCTATTGACTTAGTAGGCACTTTTTCCAGCTGTAGCTCCTATGATCAAAAATTCTTTGGATATGAGTTTTTCCTGATATGCAAATAGTTGCTGATTGTGGATTTAGTCTCTTTGGAATGAATAAGCTAAAATACTCAATCCAGTTGTAATCATTCATGCAAAAGGGTATGACTCTGCTAACCATTACGCTGTACTAACCAGAAGAGGCCTTGTTTTTCCAGAACATGCCATATTTCACTTTAGAATATAGGGGGTTAATTTAATAGAAATTGCCTACCCAGTGTCTGGTAATTCCAGCAGCATTAACAGTTATGTAAGTTACTGTTTACTTCTGTTTACACATTGAGAGATATCTCTGGGAAATCAGCGTCCTGCTGTTTTTGGCACTGCCCAAATATGGTGGCTGCCAAAGTCTGTTTATCCAGTCACTGACAGCCAGTAGTACCCTTCCAGTGCCCTTTCAGAATGCCATATTCAGCAAAACCTCTTGAAACCAGGACAGTCAAAGAATTGCTGAGGAAAAAAATTTGCCTCTGCCCTTTTCTGAGCAATGCCCCATGTGACACATATTTGTGCTCTGCTTTTCCAGATGGTGTGTTTCATTGGTTTATCTAAGACAGCCTATTAACTTCCTCTCCTTATGGCAAAACCTTCATGGATGTGGGCAGTATTAAAAAGTAACAATTTGTATGAATTCTCTACTCAAACACGGTTTATGGAGGTAAGAGTCACCAAGGTCTGTTTAACTGTATTTGTAAAAATAAAAGATTCTGACTTTTCTCTATGTGTTTAATTCTGATACAGTGGTAAACAATGGATTCACTGAGAAGAAACATTGTTCTATTTTAAGGTGTTATACCTACCACAAAGAGTGTGAGATAGCTGGGTTTTGCCTGTCCGGAACTCTGTTAAATAAAGAGAAGGGAAAAAAAGAGTCAGGGTTTCTTTTTCCAAGTTTGACAGATTCAGGAATTACTGCAGTTAGAAACTCCTACTTACAAAATTCACCTCAATCTCTACCTGTTAAAATCATTTAACCTCAATTTCTAAATCATATTCTGTGCAGGAGAAATGTGTTACATGAAAAGCAAAATCTGAAGTGCTTTAATTTGATCGTGCTTGACTGCTGAAGTCATTCTCTTGTGTGTGGAAGTTAAAACCATATGGCACCTGTGGAAAAGTGATAATGGGGGGGCGGGGTGGGAAAGAAATGGTTGATTCCATTAACCTAGCCCAGTTTCATTTCCAGTAAAATGATCAAGGAGAAGCTTACAAGTTTGTTAATCTCATTCTACCAAAACACATTAGCCCCCAGTTTGTCTTCTAATGGGAATAGTACTTTGTTTTATGAACGCTTGTTGCTGAAGTGTCAAGCACCAACTAATTAGGTGTACTGTAACAGTAGCTTAATTGTAATTTCAAAATCTATATAAAGTGCAGTGTACCTTAAGTGTGCATAACTAAAATACCTTTTGTGGCAATTTTGTTACACTGCATCAGGGAGAACTCTGGCATGTTAGTAATAGTCTTAGTAATGCTATGTTGTGCTGAATCAGCATGCCCAGTAATGATTACTCAGCTCAAACTTAGTCTGCAAGCAAATGAAGAGGAAAAATGGGAAAACATAAAGAGAAGTGGATTATTTCTTTCACACATGCAGATACTCATCTTTATAACTACAATGTGGGAAACTTGATAGAAGTAATCCAAGTTGAATTAAAATCTAAATTAAGTTGCAATTCTTTGTTTGGTAATACTCGTTTAATGTGGTTCTCTCACCTCCAAAGGCCTCAGTGATTGCCATGCTTTCAATTCCACCACCCAGAAGCTTACTACAGAAAGAGAGAAGTTATGGTCAAAAAAATCACAAGATGAAAATAAAACAGAGACATTTTTACTGCTTTAAGGAAAGTAATTTCTGCCCCAAAGAAGCCCCTCACTTGATGCATTAAGTGCAGGGTACTAAATGATCATTGATTCATAAAAAATTAACTCTGTCTTTACCTCCCTTTTTGTGTGCAAGGAAAGATCTATACAAATTATTACTGGAAAGAAAGAAGAGAAAATAATATTGAAAATAATATTTGAAAATAACATTCCATGAAAATATCTCAAGGGAGGACTTGAAGACTTGCAATTTTGACCTCAAACCTGCAGATTATTTTGATAGGCAAAAAATTATACAGTCAAGATTTCTAGATGCCAAATATTTATTTACAGTGACTGTACAAAGTCCAGTTTCATCTCAGAAAAGGAGTTGGTTTTGGTGCTTACTGATGTAGACTTCTTTAGGGCAGCACTAACTCCAAATGCAAGGGGAATCTATGTGTCCTAGCTGAATATTTATTCCTTTATTTTTCTGTATCTCATTAAAGACAATTAAGATGATTATTGGGAACATTTGGATGAAGGGAGGATATAAAAGATAAGCTTACTCAAATTCTTGGCTGCCAGTGGAAATATGAAATACCATCTTCCGTTTTTCACTGTACTCAAAGGCAGTGAGGAAGCCTGGTTCCTAGGGAAGACCAAAGAGAACATGAGAGGTTTATTTTAGCTTTAACCTGAAGTTGAAAGTGCAATATCCCACCCAAATATCTTCTTTTCCCCCTTGCCTCATGCCCGTGGGTTGGGTATAAAAAACACCACAGCATTCATCTGGTTGTTGTGGAGTATAAAGTATTATGCCTTAGAGTAACAGGCAGAATAATTTTCAAAATTATTTTGATGAGGCAGTGGGAAATCTGCTAAGAGAAATCTTGGACAGCATTTTGGAGAGGCCAGCATAAGTTCAAACTCTCAGGAAAGTGACTGGCTTACAACAAGCTTGTTTGCTGCTTCTTTAATCTTGTCCACTTTGGCCTCTGAGAGCCCCTTCACGTTGCACAGTGCCCTCCTTGTGGTCATCTGGATTCCTTTGATTGTGCAAATCCCAACTGCCTTCAGCTTTTTAATATCTGCTACATTCTGCAAAGAAATTTCCCTTCTGTGAGTACTCAGGACAGTTAACAACTAGAGGGTGAAATAAACCTTAGCGAAATATTTTAAGTTTATGTTCATATGCCTGTGTTTTCGCCAGGAAAGAAACAGATTTACAGTAAACTCTTCATTGTGTAGCTTGTGACAGCAACAAAACTAAATTTTGAGTAATATTGGTGTGAGGGATCATGGTGCAGAGAGCAGCTTCTGGTGGTTTTGAGAGAAAGATGTCTGGGTATTTACTCCTCCCCTTTCAGTGTCAGTTTTTCTAGATCAATGCTGATAGTAAAGAAACAGTACAGAATTGTTTCAGATAGTGTGGACCTTGGACACCCTATAACACAGTCTGTCCCTGGTCCCTCAGCACAGATAATCTGTAAACCAGATAATCTGGTGGTGGAGAGTTGGGAGCTGATTCACAAGGATCACTGGAAACTGAGTCTAACTGCTGTGCTGTTTCAGCATGTCCAGTTTAAAACACGTGTCCTGCAGATCTGAGGGACACTTTGGGCTGGAGTGAGCTACTCCTTTTTCATAAATTGGGAACAGCACAACTTCAGACAGCACCCTACTGACATATTTTACCTTCCTTCACCTCATTTTATGACTCTGACATCACTGGAAATGTAAAAGCAAGAACAGATTACTCACAAGAAAACATACTATGTGAAAGGTGTGGGATAATACATCAATTTGCCATTTCTGTTCAAGATTTTTCTTTGAAAAAAACCTATGAACTGGACATATAATCTATTTATTTAGAGTGTGTGGGTACATTGAGCATAAGAAGGGAGGGGGGGTTGTGTGAGAAATTAGTCATGTTTATTTCAAAGCTTGTTTCTCATCCTGTGATACATGTGTGACACTCAGCAGAGGCTGAGGGGTAACAGCACCTTAAATCCTACCAAACACTTTGGATCACCAAATCACAGTCTCAGTTGTTCTAATTCTGATTCTCTTTCTGGGCACACTGGCATATCCAGTAAATATTTTTCTCTCTACTCCTTGAAAAAAAATTCTAAACCCACAAAAATTGTTTCTCCAGGTAAATGAAGTGAACATATAGCAGTCATCCTATGTTTGCACAGAGCTTTTAGGTGGCACAGCTGAGACCAAAAACTTCCTCTGAGGTGTGGGAATAACAACTTGCAAGAAAGAAAAAAATTGATGGAAAGGAGCAGAAAACATTTACAACCCCAGAAGAACAGCCTAAGTCGTTATTCTTAGTTTTCAAACCTTCATCCATTTGTATCCTTCAGTGAATGGCATGCCTTGTTGCATACTGATAGGGTAGTACAGCTCCCTTCCAGCTCAGGTCACACTCTGATCAACTTGCTACATTTTTTAAGCAATAATTTGTTTATTTTTCCTATGTTGACCCATTGTTTGAACTCCCAACCATGTGATCCTTCTCCAGAACTATCTTTAAAACTGCCAGTGAACTGCTAATAAAAAAAATTGCCAACAATTGCACTGCTGACAGGTCAGCACAGTAACTGCAGTGCTGACTAATGATGAGTCACTGTGATACGTCCTTCCCATCTTTATCTGTCTGTAGTCACTTTTATTGAATCTCACATTACTTCACACAAATCCAACTTTTTATTCGGCTTATATAACTCTGATTATAACAGGATTCCAATCCATGAGCCAGTCTCCTAGATAAACATATAATAATTGCAATTAAAATAAACAGCTGATGTTTATGTGATGATGATAGCAATGATAGAAATTCACATTTGATGAAGAAAACTAACCACTTATTTCTCTAGCTACTAATATTTTCCACACTCCTACTCTACCCCCTGTGCTAGCATGCTGAAAATAGTGTAGTAACAATTGTCACAGTGTAATTTCACAGGCACCAAAAATGCAGGAGTAATTACAAAGATTGGCAGGAACAGGAAATAATCTATCACACAGTTTTCAAATAAATTAGCAAGCAGTTGGTTTTTCAAGAGTGCTAGGTGCTAAATACTTTGAGTATCTTGACACTTTATTTAGGAATCTGATGTGAATGAGATTTTCTAAAAATCTGTCTTATCACCAAAGGCAAAATTTGTCTCCACTGACTGAGTTAGAACTTACAGCAAGGAGGAATTTCAGTTATTTGCATCAATGTGTATACAATTTTGGAAACAATCTTACAGTAGCTTTTGAGGGACAATTCTGTGTGATCAAGTGATTGCTAATACTTACAATTCCATGCTTCTGCAGCAGGTCAATATCCTGAAAAAAGGACTCCTAAACAAAATAGCAGAAAAAAAAATAGATGTTGCTTTTTCTTGTTATTACATGTATCTCAATATGTTTCAGATTTGTAAACATTTATTGACTTTTCACAAATAATACATAAGTTGTTGGACAACTGAAATAAGCAAAGCCATAGTGAGCCAAAAAGGCCTCCATGTTTCCTATCATCTTCTCCATAAAGTGTATCTTCACAGGCAATTAATCCTCTGCTGTGCTAATAAAACTTGTGTTAGCACCATCATAATTGCAGCTTTTCTACCATAATTTCTCACACTTTTCATGCTGATGATCATTCTTCAGAAGCAGAAAATTAACTGATAGTCCCCTTGGATTTAATATAGAAGTGTAAAATATGATGAAATAATGATAATCCCATTAAAAACCATGCACAGCTTTTGAAAGGTTAATGAAAATTACTTGAAGAGCCAGGCTGTACAGGGACATGGGGAATGAGATTTTCTTGGTAGTAGACTGGAACAAAATTTTAAATGCATTGAACTCCCTGATGGTTTTTGGGGACCTCCTGTCCCTCTGTGGGTTTCTTAAGACTCTCAAAATACCTTTGAACATTTGCTGCATATAGTTTTCAATCAATAACAAATTTACCTCATCATCCTGGTATCCTGGTTCTTCTTGGACTACTTGATCCTCCATGGCCTTCATCGTGAAAGAGCACGCAATAAAGTATTGATCACTAGCGAGAAATGCAAACAAAGAGAGTCATGAGGAGGCAATAAATGAGTACATGTCTGTAAAAGGACTTTTAAGAAGTCCTTGACCTACAGAAACATGTCAGTATGACATCATATATGGATTTAAATTTGGATTCTGCTTCCAACTCTTCGTTATCTAACCTACCAGGCCAAAAGGAGAAAATCTATGGCTTTACATTCAGACAAACCAGTTCGGCTAGAAAGGGCTTCATAGGTATTTGGAAAAGAGATCTCATTCCCTTGTGAGAATCTTGGGTCAGAGATGAGTTTTGGAGGTGGGAACATTTAAAATGAATTAGCACTAGTGGAATTTATTCTGGTAAGAATGCTAAAGGCAGTCTGTGTTTTTATACCAAAAGTCAAAATAGTTGCAGACAGAATGGGCAATGGCAAGGCAATGAAACAGCTCAGCCTCTCCATCTTTATGTGACAGAAAACACACAAAACAGTACTGGGAAGGCTAAAACTTCTTAGTGATGTATCTTGAGAGCAGATTTTTAAAGCCGTATTTGTTTTGAAGTTCTTGCTGAGGTTCAAAATGACCAATAAATGCTGAACATGTGCAGGTAATGGTTGTAAGGAGTATGTTTGCATGGAGAGAACAAAAGAAGGGTAATAAAAACCTGGAACTTTTATTGTGAAAACCTATATACAGAGAGCTCATTTCATGTTTTTTCATTGTTAACTTGCCATGTCTGCACTCCAGCACAGTTTCACTGCCCTCTCTATGTGACTTGCTCTAAGCAATGCCTAGAACTGGAATAGGCACTTAGTGACGCTGTGGTTAAATGAGCAAAGTGTGACCTCCTTAAATTTTATGAATGCAAGAATAGTGAATACAAAGTAGTTCCTTAGAAACATGATCATATAACCAAACTACTCTATCATTTTTGTGGCTTTGTAAATGGGTTAAATTGCTTCTGTTTAAATTGTGAGCTTATACTTGGGTGTTCTAGCTCTGGATGATCAAAAGTTTTGTAGACCACCACACCAAAATGTGTGCATATATTTATTTGCTCATTTGTTAACAAAATCCACAAACTATAAGATGGGCTATGTCTAACAAAGGTTGGGATAGTTTAGGCTAAATATCTGCAAAAGGCCTTTTTTTCACCTTGTAAATGGATACTAATTTGCTTGCAAGAATTTTGTGTATATAGAGGCTGGGTAAGAAAGGAACAGGATATCAGAATTTCAGAATTATCTTATTCTGTTAGCATTTAATGGAAACATTCTTATAAAATCAGTTGTTTCTGATAGTGTCATGGTATATTTAATTTCTGTTTCAGAACTCTGACAATTATGGAGTGACAAATCATGCCCTCGCATAATTACAGCAAAACACTAATTAAAAGATACTCTGGGAGATTTGAAAAATTCCCTAGCTTCAAATACCGAAGGAAGAAAAACAGGTAGTGCAAGAGGCATTAAAACTATATTACAATCTCCTTCTTCATTAGAAACATCCTCACAAAATGCACATAATTCTGCCCTTCAACCCCCACTGAGCAGGTTATGGGATTGTTCTACTCCCCATCCTTAGGCATTTGGCATCGCACAGCAGACGCAGGCAGACCCAGACCTGCGCCTTCCTGCAGGCTATTAGGGAAAATGGAGAAATTATACCTCACCCTATTAAAAGCTTTAGGTACGAAAAAAATCCTCCTGCTTAGCGTTGTCCTGCTGCTGGTGTGTGTTGGCACACCTGAAGGATTCCAGTCACCACTGCCTGCAGTGAAGCAGATAAAAGGGTGAAAGTCTGAGACAGCAGAGCAAATCCATGAAAAACCACCAACAATCTTGTGCCACCTCAAGTACCCAAGGGCAGGTGAGCAAGACCAGGATACCGCGGTGTCCTTCCAGCCTGCTGGCGTGACAGGGACCCCGCAATTCCCCCTGGCCTTGGGCTGGCAGAAAGTGGCGGCACAGCTCGGCTCCCCGGGCCGGGGCCGATCCAACCTGCCCCAAGGAACCTCACGGCGCGACCTCACATCTGTTGCCTCAGAGCAAAATAACTGATTAATCGTCAACAACACACAGATTTATTCGGCTTTTCTTTGCCAGCTGCCTCCTCATGAGATGTACATTTCTGTTCCCAAAGGGCGAGGGACCGCTGAATCTCCCTTCCCCCGCAAAGCACCGTAATTCCCCATCAAAATTAGAACAGTAATTAAATCCCCAGCTCATGCCCGGGCAGCTCCCGGGGAGAAGGTGGGTGCAGTACCCGGGGCGGAGGCGCCGAGCCCGCCACGGCCGCCCGCCTCGCTCCTCCTGAGGGTACGGCCCGGCCGCCTTCCCGCCGGCGGCGCGGGGCGGGGCCCTGGGGCGCCATGAGGGCGGCGCGGGCCCTTCCCTCCCCCGCCCCGCGCTGGAAGACGCCTCAGTCTCCGTCTTCAGTCAGTCCATCGCCCGTGGTTTATCGGCCACTGTAATCTCTGTCTGTCCGGAATATCTATCGCATTGCCCTCGCTCCACAGCTGGGAAAGGCAGCATTAGTTAACACCGCGTTGGTTTGGAAGGCATTTAGCTCAACACAGCTCTGCCTTTTGTTTTTCCAGGGTGCCGCTCACGCATCTTCCTCAACAAGGCACACACGGCGGTTTTGGATTGGATGGCCAAAACCTGTCAGGGAGCTGGAAGAGAAGTGACTTGCCTGGAGTCACAGGACAAGAAAATGAGCCTGAGTCATACACATGACTTAATCTGCCATTTTAAAAGGATGGAAAAGGTGCTTTTTAGGATATGAACACTTGTGTGAGACATCTGCAGGCTTCTTGGAGGCAGTATTTGGAAAGCAATCGCCCGTTTTAGCTCGCCTCTGGTGGCACAGTTGGTACGGGACTGCATGTCAAGGAGACATCGCATCTCCTGCGAGCAGCAGGAGTTCCTGGCTGCCCCTTGTGTGGGCTTGGAATGGCAGAAGGGATTGGAGCAGCATCTCAGCCTGTTCCAAGGGGCTTGTGAAAACTTCCCCACCCTCTGCCTGGGGGAGGTTAAGGGCACCTTTCCCAAGCCATTTCTTAGCCAAGTCAGAAAACAAGCAACGAAACCCAGGGCCCTGTGCCATCATCAGCACACCACGGGAGTGCTCGCAGGGTCTCCATTTGAAACATCGAGCAATTTCTCTAAGTACCAAAAAGTCCAATCCTAGAAGCCCAAGGCTTTGTCTGTACAGAGGAAGCGGCTGGCACAGCTTTTGAAAACCGCATTATTCCACAAGAGTTATTCCAGAAGAGCACTTAGGCAGACAGCCCTTTAAAGGTGAATTCCTTCACAAAGTACGTTTTTATTCCAGAACAGAATGAAGAGGATGACCCTTCTGGTGATGCTGAGTGGCTCTGCAGCAGAAAATACCTCACTCTGTAAACAGCCTTCCCTTCATTATCCTTTTAGTTTGTGAAATGGTTCTCAGAAAGGTCAATGAATGCACAGAATCTTAAGACCATTTCCCACTCCAAAGAGCTACTTTGGGCAATAAATTACATTCTGCACCTTCAAAACATTGTGTGATCATTAATTGCTCATTTGGCTTCCACCTGGTGTTGTACACTAAATGAGCCCATACTGTAGATGCATCCCTCCATCTTCTTCCATTTTGCAGGTTCTGCTGCTGACCAATGCATCTCCATCCCCGAGGGACGCACTGGAATGAGACACACCACTGTGATATGCATTTCCTCTCACTCGAGATCTTGTACCTGTTTGGACAAGAACCAAGTCAAACCATTACCATAAAATACTAAGTATCCAGCTGATTTTTTCTTTTCATCCTCACAAACTTCATCCATAGTTGCAATAGGGAAATCATGAGGGGTTTTGTTGTTGTTGGGGTTTTGTTTTCCATCTCTGGTCAGAGCTAAGATGAGCTGCAAAAGCTCTGTGCATACAATGGGTCTCAGGGTAGGAGTGGCAAAATATCAGATCAGCCAAGCTTTGAAATTCAGACTGAAGTAACAGGAGAGCCCTGTTAAAATGGAATCACTGGAAGGAATAGAGACAGTACTGGGGGACTGAGTTATGGCTCCATCGTAGTCTTGAGATCCTTAGGCTAAGCCTTGACAAAAGTATTCAATGCTACAGTATTGGGAGTGATCCTGCATTAAAAAGACACATTAAAATATAGATTTTGCTACCTCTAATTTATTTTGAGTTAATCACTAAGGATGTATTATAGGATTAGAGACCTCCCTTCTGTCTATCAAGATGTCCTGTCTAGACCACGGTGCAGCATTGCAGCTATGAAGGAAATGATGAATTAGAAGGCTGTGCCCACTGATACTAAAGAGATGTCAGGTCAAGTCAGGAACACAACAGATTGTATGTGACTGGAAAAGAAGGTAACAGTAATAGCAAAATACCAACTAGAGAATTCAGGAATGGATATTTTTCTAAGTGAGAAATAAATAATCTGTATGTCAACTGTACAAACACAGTAAATTATGGCAGTCCAAGCCCCACAGGATTCACTATTTTTATAGGTGATTGTGAAATTAGAATTTCTTTATACATATAACTAAGAATGAGATGATAAAATAAAAAATATTTTTTAAAAAGCAAAAAACCTGGAAACAAGACCACTTACAGTCCTTGCAAAACCTAAACCGAGTTAGAGGATTTATGGAGACATACATCAGTATATCACATGTGATCTATCAAAAAGACAAAGGAGATAAGAAAAACTGTCTATTTTGATAATGCACAAGGAATTTTTTATTTTAGATAAAAATACAAACTAGTAATAGAGAACAATAGTACTGAAAGAGACATCAAGAGATTATCTATCTCAAAGCAGATTCTGATGTCCATTTGGCTAGGGAGGCTGTGGATTTTCTTTTATCTTTTGAGAAAGAATGGGACAATTTCAGTCCTTGCCTATCCTTGCCATTACCCTTGTTGGCTACCCTTAACTGTGCCATGCAATTTTATCTGTAAAAAATATGCAATATTTGAACTAACTTCTACTTTTAAAAGTTTAGGTAACAGAGATCTAATTCTTGCATGCTTTCCTCTACCCCAAAAGAGAAAAAAATGCCAGCATAACCAGTTTGAAAAAAATGCCCAAACATGATGGATTATGTCATAGTGTGTGCAGCTTGCTCTTATCTGCTCATGACCTTTGGAGCTGAAACATGCAACCCTGGAATATGATATTGCCACTCTCAGTAATTTGCCATAAGCTTTGTACTGAATGTGCAAGGCCTCAGGACTGAGATTTGTCAGGTTTGTTTGCTTTGAACTTCTCTTGACCCTTCTGCATTTTTTCCTTGGTTAGCTGTGACAGCAGTTTCCATAATTAACCAGGTCTGTGGCTAATTTGTTTTACTTCTGTTTATCTGTGTGTGGTACAACCATCGTTTGATATAAACAAAAGTAACAAACAGTTATTCTGCGTAGAAAAAGAGACTTATGACTAGCACAGTGATGCAGTGCAGAGAAATGCAGGCGTGGAGCAATAGCAGAAGCCTTGAGGAATGGGGGCACGCGATTTGCTGAGGAACACAGGGATATAAAGGCAGCAGGCAAGGCACAGGCTTGGCAGGGCTGGCCTGATGGCTGTGAACATCTCACCAGTGAGCAGCCAAAGAAAAGCTGAGCTGAAGCTGGATTTAGGGGTAACAAAGAGAAAAAAAGAAAAGGGAAAAAAAAGTAACATTCATAATAAGCACTACATGCCGTAAAATCAGATGTAGTGTGGTGCTGGTAGGTGTAGGTGCAGCAAAGTTGAGGCCCTGCCAGGATCACCTTTTCCAGCCCCCGTGTTCCTGGAGCTGTAGGCTCTTTGACTCTCTCAACCCTAAACCTAACCCTAGCCACTACCCTAACCCTTTGAGCACATTTCTAACTTAACCTAATAGATAATTTTAAAAACATTTCTTTTTAAAGCAGCTTTCTCATTTTTAACACTTCTTTCTGTTTGAGCAACTGGTGCTGCAACCTTTTACAGTTTTATCAGTTTCTGCACAAAAAAAAAAAAAAGAATCTCTATTTTAATCGCTATTGAAAAAAAACCGAAATGCAGTTGGTAAAATATATTACTCTGAATCATGAAATGTGTACTTTGGGAAGTGCAGGTCTTTTTTTAATCTGTGAGAGCTTTCTAAACAGCTGTTGCAAATTCCAAAATAACTGCTCTTTACTAACTCCACATACATAGATTTTTGTTCTGGAATAACTGCACCTTGTTCTACTTCAGCTTAATATTAACTTTATGATAAACAGAAGTAACAGACTAATTATGAAATAAGACTGCCCACATATGGGAGTAGTAATTGCAATTGCATACACCTTTGTTCATTTGAATTACCTCCAAGATCAGATAAAAGTAGGATGAAGAAAGCAATAATAAAATTTATTTGATATGAAACTCTTATCAATCTTCAGATTTGGTGACAATGCCTCTGACAAGCTTGCATTGAATCAAAGCTCAGTCACAGCCCTGGTTAAAGTCCATGGGTGAATATCTTCATTTTGCTAAGTAAACCAGAAGAATTGACTAACCAATCCTCTGCTCACAGATTAAATGGGAAGCCATTCCCTAAGGGAATGAAGTACATCACATGGCCAGTCCCTGGCACCAGGGGACTGATCAGAGTACAGAGCATGGCCAGGCTCCTGCACTGCCCTTACTAATGTCCCATGTTCCAGCTCTCAGAGTGAGCCTGAGCTTAGCCTTAACCCAGCAAGGCATTATGATTTGCTTTTCTCCTATTTGCATTCCC